GTTATTTATCAGACTATTACCGGAAAATTTCTGGGCGGTAACGAAAGCAGATCTTGATTCTTCCCGATCGAGCCTCGGTGTCACACATACTTCCGTCACAGCGGTTCAATTACGTTTCCTCAAGGATTCATCAACCATACAGTCTAGATAGCTGCACATTACACAGGCCCTATACTTTCCCGACTTACCGACCCATCACAAAATTCCCGACTTTTTCCCAACCTCCCGACCCATCTCAAAATTTCTGACTTTTTCCCGATTTCGCGACCCTGTGGGGAGCCTGTATGTGTTTTTGCATCTCAGCAAAGGATGTTGTATTCCTCTCGGCCTAGGTTGGCCCTGGATGGCAAGGTCAGAATCAGAAGCCTGCCTATTAAATGATCTTAATTGTGTTGATGGGGGTGTAAAAAAATCTCCATTATTAAAGAAAAAAATCCAACGAAAAAACACGTCTTGGAGAGAAATTCTACACCGTTCTTTCACACTTTAAAAAATGTGTTTTTTTAGTAGAGGTTTTTACGGCGCTCGCAACTGCATAAGGTCATATGAGCGCCAGAAGATTAGAGGTGTTACAAGAGAGTAACAAACTTTTAAAAAAGGGGAGATAAGGACGATAGATGTTTGATAGGAAAGAAGAAGCAAACCACACAAGAGCACCCACCAACCACCCATTTTTATTTGTCTGTTTGAGTAAAGTGTAGCACGTCAACAGTAACAATAACGCAATAACAATCATTTAGCGAATGGGGAAGAGTAAGACCAGACAGACAAGAACAGTGAGAGAGAAAAGTAAAATTCAGTCATGGTAACCTAGTAAGTAAACAAAACAGCCACCTGCATTTTTTGCCTGGAGTTCAAGATGTATTTTGGGATGTTTTCTTCTATCTAGGAAAGTAGGTGAGGCAATGTGGCGAAATCAGGCGCTCGTCAAAATAACGAAATCGGAGAAAAAGGCATTTTCTGCCAGTATGGAAATTTTTATTGAATTTTTATATTTTGGCTTTACCTCTTTTCTGTCAATATAAAAACACATTTCCATGTGAATTTTGCTGAAAAACATAGATTAAAGACACAAACTATGTCATTTCTCAGTTCTCAAAGACTCTCTAGCTATTGGAGTTACATAACTTTGGCAGCCATTTTCTCGCTAATTTCACCATTGAAACCAGGCGACCTCACTTCCTTCAATTGCAAATTTTAAAAATTCTATTCAAGATAAATGGATATTTATTCCATTGGAAGCAAGGCAAATAAAGCAGCTTTCAGATGATACCAATAACTGCACATGCCCAAAAATTGACGAGCGCCTGATTCCACTGCGTCATGCCACATAATCCACCTCTGATTCAAGTGGCATTAGTAGCTTTACAAAACACATGGACTCAGTTCAATGAAAATGTTCAATTTTATTTCAAAATCCTCATTTCGGGAGATCTGCACCTTTTTATTCATAAATCAAAAACTCATAGAGACGGATTAGAAGATTGTGAAAACATGATATTTCAATTAAATATGAGATTTCAAATCCACACCTTTGCATTGAGATGAATTAGAAGAATGTGAAAACATGACAAATCAACAAAAAAATGAGATTACAAACCCACACCTTAGCACTGAGTCTTATTGAAATGATGAAGGAGAAAAATGTGAAAACGACAAATCAATCAATTTAAATATGAGATTACAAATCACTTAAAAATGAGATTACTTTATTACGTTGGAAAAAAAAAAAGAGGAAGACATAGAAGACACTAACATAATGTAAATCATTCCTCTTAAATTAAGTTGGGGGGTTTGTTTTTTGGTTGTTTTTTTTAATTAATGAAATGGCAAACGGATTTCGAGGTGTGGAATAGTCCCACTACACCATGCAAATGCAGATGATCAGGGCAATTTATCAGACTTGCCACACAGCCTCAATGGCAGCACATCAGGAGGTAACACATCTCCTCGCCGACACACTCTGTTCAGCATCTGCTGTCTCCCTCAAGAGGAGAATGTTGGTTCAGAGTAACTAGAAGAAGTGCAAGTTTAAAAAAAAATTTTTTTTTTAGTGGAGATTTTTTTACGGTGCTCGCAACAGCATAAGATCATATGACGAGCGCCAAGGGGTGGAAGTCAACAGAGAAGTCCTTACAGGGATTCAGGCTTACTCAGCTCACCTCTCTAGCTTAAAAAACACAAAGCCTGCTTTGACTATCAAGGCAGTCCGGAAATGGGCAACAAGAGAGTGACAAACATGCAAAAGAAGCAGAGGAAAAATGACGATAGCAAGGATTAGGAAAGAAAAAGCAGCAGTTCCCTGTTGCAGTTCAAGCACAGTTATGAGCATGACATTGTTGAATCAGCCCCTTTACAATTCTACTGTGCATAATAAGAACAGAGGAATAGCATAAAGACACTTCAGTCAGTGGCACCGCCCCGGGGGGGGGGGGGGAGGGGGGGGTGAAGTGCAAGTTTGAGGGGCTGAGGTGTGATAGACAGACTGACAGACTGAGGAATGAACGACAAAAGTTGTAATTAGACTGACAGAATAACATGTGACACAACTCGAGTGTCATACATGATAGATCAGAGGGCAAGGTTGCAATTGACTTTCATAAATGAGGCTATACAGACTGACAAACATGACTCGATTGTCACAGTAACGGTAACAGAACTGAAGTTTGATAGACTGACAGACTAAGTTGCAATAGACTGACAGACAGAGGAATGATAAACTTTTTGTTCGGGTAAGTGTCTTACGGCACTCGCAACTGCATACGGTTATATAAATATGAGCGTGGGACACATAAAACACTTTCAGTTTGGTACGAGGAGGAATTAATTTTGAATTTTATCCGCCCAAGTTGCAACATTATAACAGAGGCGACGCAGACTGAACAGACTGAAATGTGACAAGATTGTAATACATGATATGAGGCGTGTAGGCGGAGGAGAAAGGTGTCCACTATATCTCCAGCTTGACCGACTGTGACAGACATCCTTGGTACCTCTCCAGCGCTGGAGCCACCTCCACCGACAAGAAACGGTCGACCTGAGGATGACAATCATTCAATCATTAACCCTATCCGTACGTCGTGTTTACTATCGTATACATACAACATGGGGAACTCTGAGTCACCACTTTCCAAAGAGGAAATTTACTCGTTAATCCAATCCGTACGTTTTGCATAGTAGCAGTCTGTCAAAAGGAATTTTAGAGAAATACTGAAAGTTTCAAAGAGATCTTCGTACTAGAAGTATTCTAAAATGTGAAAAATACAACTACAACCCCGGAGGTACAAAATGACCCCAGGGCGTAAGGATTAGATTAACTCTGTATAACACCGAGTGGACCATGGAAGCGTCCTAGAAACTCGCCCGCTCCCCGATTTATTTTGACTTGGAATTGCTTGATTAATGTATATATAGGCCTACTGCTTCCTCTCTCACTTTGACACAGTTTATTAAGCAATTTGATGAATATTTTTTCATGTAGGCTTATACCCCGTTACATGTCTCACAAGATCTGAGAAAAATTATGTCAAAATGTGGAAAATAATTCCGGGGTTAAGAGTTAGATCAATGACTCACCCAATAAGTTTATTATTATACAAAACCAAAAGCATTGTAAAAAAATAAAACCCCACATTTCTACCAACCTAGTCAACCAACAGTCTCATAAAGAAGCCTGCCTCCTAAGTGACCCTACCCCCCCCCCTCCCCACATTTCCACTATACTGGTTAACTAACCGTCACTCCCACATTTCCAATAACCTGGTTTACAGACAGTCCCACCCACATTTCCACTGCTCCGGTTAACCGAGAGTCCCATGAAGGAGCCTGCCTGCACTAATCTGGTTAACTGACAGTCCCACCCGCATACCCACATTTCCACTAACCTGGTTAACTAACAGCCGCACCCACATTTCCACTGATCCGGTTAATTGACAGTCCCATAAAGGAGCCCGCCTGCACTAATCTGGTTAACTGACAGTCCTACCCACATTTCTACTAACCTGGTTGACCGGCAGTCCCCCACCGACATACATTCATTTCCACTGACCTGGTTAACTGACAGCCCCAAGAAAGAGCCCGCCTCAATTAATCTGGTTAACTGAAAGTCCCACCCACATTTCCACTGATCCGGTTAACCGAGAGTCTCATGAAGGAGCCCGCCTGCACTAATCTGGTTAACTGACAGTCCCACCCACATTTCCACTAACCTGGTTAACTGACAGCCCCATGAAGGAGCCCCGCCTCCACTAATCTGGTTAACCGACAGCCCCACCCACATTTCCACTGATCCGGTAAACTGACAGTCCCACCCACGTTTCCACTGACCTGGTTAACCGACAGCCCGACGAAAGAGCCCGCCTCCACCAGGCTGTCCAGCTTGTCATGGATGGGCTGGAAGTACTGGTCAGTCTCGATCCGCTGCAGGAAGTCGCAGGGCGTACCCTCTTGCTTCATCAGGGCTGCGCTCTGCAGGGCCAGGCACCGCAGTTTCTCATGGCACTCCTTGAGGGTTGAGAGAGAAAAGGGG